TATTGTTTAAGATACTATTTCTTACATTTTTTTATGGTAATAACCAATAATTGACCTCGTAACAAAATAAACTTATATCTTCAAGAATAATTCTTATACAAAATTAGATAATAGTGACTTTGACTAAAATATATGAGGACGGTAGTTTTACATAATTCAACCCAAAGCTAGCGAATAGAAAGATAAAAAGAGAAAACAACAATGTGTCCGTATTTATAATAATCGTTACTGACAATTCTCAATATTTTCGATTTTATGTCACCTTTAAATGAAAACGTATAATATACATTCGACGCTGATTAAAACTTGGGACATTATTTTCAAGGCTCGGGCTCAATCACCGACAAATCTTTAATGATTGTGGCTCGTTGTTTTTTAGCACACTATAATCTGCTGGTATATTATAGAACACGAATAAGGAATATGTTTCGGTAAGGAAAACCGTAGCTGGTTTTTAGTACTCCCTTAAATAAAAAACCCTATAAAATTTGCATTGTTTTATGAACATACACGTTTTTGGGTTCATAGTTGTTACTTGGTCTTGTTTAATGACAATCGTCATATTTTAATTCATCTCTATATTGAAGGTTGAAAAGTCCGTTGTTGTGGCTTACCCCTGAACCGTCGAGACTAATATATAATTATGTATATATAGATAGTTATTTTCTAATTACTTTCATCTGTGGCTAACATTGCACTGACTTTTGAGGAGGCAAAGATTAACACGCTTATTAACTATGCTTGAAGGTTAAATTAATTTGTTTAACACATTTTGGCCTAGGTATGAGAAATGTGTGGATTTCTCGTTGAACAATCTTTTAGAAAGAGTTAATTTTTGCAAAGTAATAAAACACTACTCTTCACAGCTGGGGAAGTGTTAGCGTGGCGACGAATAAGAGAATTCCGATCCCAACCAACAACAAACTCAATTACCTAACTTGTGCCACACATTCTACGGGAGTTAACCAACCTGTCTGCTAGAGGTTCTACAAATAATACTCCAATTACCAGGCAAAACATCAACGTCTGTTAAGCTTGGTATTTAATATGTGATACTTTTGAATAAATGTAAATTATCACATTAAATTTTATTTTGTGATTATTATAAAGTTTTAATATTTGGGATATTCTGCTTGGCCATAGTTAAAACTAAGTGCAGGTCTTATTGCATTTCTGTTGTCTGTCTAGTGAGATTTCAAGATTCCTTAATTTTTAAACAAGTGCAATGAGACTATTGTCAAGTACTTAACTACCTTAAAACTAAATTCATACAAAATATCTTTTATATCAGCCTTATTGTGGTATTTTGTGATTAAACTTTAGTTAAAACTATGGAATTCGTCAAATTACAAACTTCTTCGTGCATATGTTGGTATTTTAAGGACTCTTGCAAATTCTCTAGGTAGGAGTTAATTTAATTTTACTTTAGTTCATTTAAGTTTAATATTTTAAATCTTTCAGATAACAATCATAACTTTTTGAAAAAAAAAAGATTTAAGTCTATATGTACACAAAGTGGGGATATGCTTAACAAAAGGTAAAACCAAAGGAAGCACAAGCCCGTATCTGCTTTCAGTGTAACCATTACGAAATATTCCCTTCCCGAGGAAGGTGATTGTTATCTTACAAACCACCTTACTCTTCAGCATCCAAATTTGTCCGTAAAGGTTTTTACCATCAGACAGAATTTTCTCTCACTAACCTCAGCAAAATCTCAACAAAACACAATCAATTTTTTTTTAGTTTGACATAATCTATTATAATCTTTTAACATAATTATTTATAGTTTAACATAATACCTAAGTTATAAATAATCTAACTCATAAAGGTGTATTCAAAGCAGAACTCCATTTTAAAAGAACATTGTGTAAGTATTTTGCTTAATAATGATTGTTTTTAATACAAAGAATTAAAATAAATAGCAGGTAAAACTGTCATGCGTGTTTGTGATCAGTTTTAGTTTCAACCCTTTAAAAACAAACCGTATATTACTAAGAAGTCCAAGCGTTTAAAAAGTATAGCCTACTTAGAATGACAACTGACATTTTAGTATTTTGTAAATTTAATTTGATATTTGATTATTCATTTGTATGCTTTTGTAAATATTTAACTAAGGACTTGCTATATTTATTGAATTTAAAGTATATCCCTAATGTTGCCACTTAATTAAAAAACACTTTTGTAAACATATTATATACAAACTAAACATTACTAGAAGACCCTTAACGAATTTTACTACAAAACATGAAAAGTTCTAACCCCAAAAATGAAAGGAAATATACAAATATGCCTTAACTTTTGCAAGACACACGTAACTATAATTCAAAACCTTGAAGTTGTACATATAAGTTCAGTTGAAGAGCTTTTTGCTGCCACATCGGAGTGGTAGACAAACAGAACAATGTTCCATTCCTTATAAGCTTATGCTGTGATATTACGTGTTTTACCAATGATTTAGCACCTAAGCTTTTAAAAAGTCATTACGTAGACATAGTATTATTTCAATACAAACAATTATCTTTTGATTAACTTTTAAACATTTCAATATCCACACTTTGAATCAAAGTATATGATTTTGTAGAGTTTTCTTAAGATAATTTCGTCTAACTTTTTTACACAAAAATATTTTTAAGAAACCGATTCTTGCAAAATGTTACGTCTGCAAAGAAGAGCATTCTTTATTTACACACTTTATTTACCTTATGAAACAGCCAATTACGTTATCTGGTTATATTTGCTTAAACGAAAAAAAGACTTCTTTACAAGCATACATAACCAGAATGTATACATTAGTTTCACGCTCTAATAAGTAACATAAGTGGCATAAATTAAAAAAATTAATCAAATATATTTTCACATATTTTTTTAGGTTTTTACTGAGGGCTGGATAAGTGTAAACGTTGTATTAATGTCACACCACATTTTCATTTGTAGCAAATATTGAAGTAAAAATATTTATTTTCTTTGCCTTATGGATTCTTTAAGGTTGAGTTGTAAAAGATTTACCTCGTGGTCCTTTCTGATTGTTCAAGTCAAATATCAATATAAACTCATTCTATTGAAAAACTTACTAAATACTAAGTGTAATGTACTAAAATATTTTATATGTTATGAAAAAGCTCAACGATAATCTCCATTGTTTTGTAGTCATTTTTCAGCGTCCTTATCGTGATTATTATAATTCTTTTTTGTCAGTGAATGATCCAGTTTCTGGTCTTTTTACCAACTAACTACACGGTAACATAAACATATACTTTTTTCACTAACAAATAAATTTATAACTTTGTTAACACCATAATAATTAAAATTAATTATGTTTCCTATACAATTTTCTTTGAAGCAGATGCAGAATAATTTAACTATAAATATTTATACATGGTCGTCCAAATAATAAACTATTAGCTTGATGATCAAATCCTTAAATCAGCTTATGGTGATATATTACAGACTTAGATCATATTAGCCGGTCCATTTATTACTACACGGGACACGAATTAAATAGGATTATAGCAATTTACTCGTGTGTCAAGATTCTATTTAGGTTTTAAATAAATTTTCCGTTGCGACTATCATTTTAAAATTAATTTTAAGGTTATCAATATTTTAGTTGTACGTAGTTGAATTAAAAGCGTTTCACACTATAATTAATTTTCTAATGGATTCAACTGCCTTAAGAATTTTGTAAACAATTTTGAGTTTTCAATTAATTCAACAGAAAAAAAGGTAATGATATGTAAACATGTTGTAAATATATCTGCATTTTCCAAATGTTTTATAATTATTTAGTTCGAAATTGAATTTGCGTAAAGGGTAATGAAATTGGATACCAAAGGATAATTATGACAGAATAACAATTTACACAAGTATTAATTTTGGCATTTTTCATCATTAGTAACAAATGTTAATACCATTTTTAATCATAATAAAAATCCATTCTAGGTTTATATTATCTAATGAAAAAATAACCAGTTAGTAATAATAATATTGATGCAGGATTTTTTTTCAAATCAAATAATTGGGTATAAGAACTTTAGAACACTTTAGAATGTTTTATAAATCTCCAAAACCAACTCTACGACATTTCTCATCCAACGTGATCAAATAAAGCAAAAATTATGTAAAAAATTAGACACATTTTAGTTCCGTATTCTTACACTGGAAATATATTTTGCTAGATCATTTATGTGGAAGTAATGGTTTTTCAAGAACATTTGTTCTCATGTTTGAACGTCACTCACCTTTCGAGTCTGTCGTCAACTTAGGTGTCGCATCATATTTACAACTTAACGTATTTTAGCTTCAAGAAGGAAATTCACTGTATATCTAAGGACACTATTAAAATTTGGGTGATATATTTAAATATCCTTAATGCATTTAAATTGTTCTCGTACATACAATAATTGGCAGTTATATACATAAACACGTGCATATACATGTTGGATGTGAATAAAATAGTTTTTGTTAGCCTAACTATAGACAAATCATGAAAAACTTAATTATTTGATATTTTTAACACGGCTAGTTGGCCTGTTCTTTTTATTTTTATGAAGTTGTCAGTATTTGCCCGTACACATAGGCTATTGCACCGGTGCGTGGAACGTACCCAGCAAAGCAAGGGGCGAGCCGGTACAGTACAAGTGTGAACTGTACTGGTAAAAAGTGGTGACAATGACCAGGATCTGAACCCACGACATCGCTGACTTGGGCTTGAAGTCCGAGACGCTACCGACTGGGCCATCGACTCGCCTTCAATTGCATTTTAATTAAAACATAAAAATCTGACATCCCAAGAAAAATCGTGTATACATTTTTTTATGTTATATATGTGTTACACATACTTTTACTTGTCTTTTTTGTAATCAGTAGAACAACAGATACTAATTTATGAGGGTATAAATATTTTAAAATTTTAATTTGGTTATTACAAATAATTTAGGGTAAAAATTTATTTACTTTTTTCATCCCAAATGTATGTATGATAATACATATAAAGGACTTACCATATATTTGTCACTGTAAATGGTCACACGTTCATTCCTGCGAAAAATAATAAATATTTAATGGTTAAACTAATTACCAATTATGGTTACATAGAAAATAAATCACTAAATTACACTTAACAACAAAAATGGCAAAAGTGTTACTCGTACAGGGTATGGTTTCTAAAGTCTTCTTTTTTCTAAAGTAAACCCATCTTATTCCCACTCCCATGGGTTCCCGAGTTTTAATATCAGGCTGATAAGTGATCTATTTAAACTAAATAAAGTCTAACAGGTCATCATGTAAACAAAAGTCATTTGAGAAAAATATACTGGCTTTCTTGAGCTTTTACACAAATGATAATTTTAAAACGAAACTGTACAGTGGTTTCAATTACCTTAATAACCTTATCCACACCAATAAAAAACTTTTGTTATAATTACATTTTCTAAAAACCATATCTCAAACAAACACACATAAAGTAAAACATAAAGCATACTTTGGGGACCTCCAGTAACACTAAAAAATAACCAACCATGTCGGCTCATTGTTAGGTGGTGTTTTCGTTTAGGTTAATGTAAGGGTGTCGTTGGATAGCAAGGGTTGGTTAATTTAAGTCTGTTTCTGGGTAGCAAGGACTGTTTGCCGTGCGAGTAACACATTAGCTGTCCACCCACAAGATTAATCTTAGAATGGCTTGGCCACCCTGCATTGAGGTTTACTCAAAATGTGCGGCAAAAAATGCTTTACTCATAGTGATAGCAATGGGTAGTACAAAATATACATTTCCGTTTTGTACTATATTAGCAAAGTAGGAAAGGCGAAAAGGAAAGAATATCTTTTTTTGGGATCCTGCGCACTACAGGATTGCTTTTAAGTAGATTTGAATGAGTGAGCTATATGATACATTAGTTTTATATTTTTTAAACCTATTTATGGAAATTAAAAGCCATAGTATAGTTTTTTATTGTCTTTTTTACATTATGAAACTTAGGTATTTTTCAAAGTAGTAGGCCTACTGTTATTATCGAACATACTTCAGACATATATGCTGAATTTTTTACTTTATTTACGAAAGGTATTTGTTGCCAACTTTTTTTTACTTCGCCTTTTTAATGTTACGTCTATAGCCACAAGGCTGACTTATTATACCTGCAAAAACATTTTCGGACTCAGTTTGGTGTTACTCTTAACAATTACTAAGCCGCAAAAATCAAACGTAAGCAAAACGTGTTTAATGCAAAACGTCTTTTCATGAATCATTATCTACCCTTGGATCGACGTTATAGGGGGAAACAAAACAGCGAAATGCAAGAAAACATTCTATAAAACTGACTGATAGTTTTGAGTTCGAATTTTGGTTAAGTTAAAATAATTAAATGATAACTTAAGAGTTGAGGGATAGCGCTAACAATGAAATTACCTCTATTGTTTTAAGTTAAAGAACTTTGAGAGGTCAAATTGGTTAAGCAGGAAGTTGTTGTTGAAGTTAAGTGCGACCCTGGATTATAATGGAAATGTAAATCCTGATATTTGTAGGGCTTGCCGGCATTGAGTGTAGTGAGAACTCCATAAATAGTATTCGTATTTACCCAACGACAAAGACTTTGATTTAAATTTATAAATTAAGAGGGTGGTGAGCACTTTACCACTCAGCTACCCAGCCTGTGTTTCTACACCAGAATGCATACAAATTACGGCATAAGTAAAGTTTTGCACATGATCGGTGCCTAAATAACATCTGTTGCACAACAAATATTATGTAGGAATATCGGATTTTGCCATAAGTTGAACTCATTTCTGCGCAAAGTTTAAGTGACTACAAAATAACATTATGCAAATTTGTTTGAACATGTCAGTTTAGGAATTTAAACAATACATTTTAATACTTTTAATATCCTAGCGTATAAACTAATTCAATTTTCCAGTCTTAAGTTTTTTTTATTATTACAGTGCTTATAAACACTATGTGTCACGACTGAAAACACGTCTTAAAACAAACAAAAAATTAGAAACTGAAACTCTTGTTCAAACTAATACAATGACGGTATTTTTAAACAAGTTAATACGGTAAATAAACAATGTCCATCGATATTGAGAAACATCCCTGTCAGAAAATTAGATCAATCAGCTGTGAGCATTATTGGAAATTCTCTTGAATTGCAAATATGCCAATAATATAATGATTGATGCATATCTGAGCTACATACAGTTCCTAGTCACATAGATATGAGCTACAATTGGACTTGTCTTCTTAATCAGGATATAGCTCATACCTCATATCACACTCATAGTCTCATCATTTCATCAATATATTCAAATATAACCATCTATTCTCATTTACGTAAGACTTCTTATAAGCGAGCCAGTGTTGATTTTTTTTTAACTTAAACCCATTTAAACTGAAGGCCCGTTCTCTAACTACTAGGCAATGAGCCTCCTTATCTAAGGATTCTAATAGTATGTACAATTTTTTTCAGTGGCATTTCTGCAAAGTCTAACGGGAGATTTAAGTTTTTTAGATATGCGGGGAATTGAACTCGCCCTCCCGCAACGAATTCCAAGACACTAACTACTCGACTAGCAACACACCTTTTGTTCTTAGTTTAAAATACTTAAGGTCATTTTGTTAGAATATATTTTTTGTATGGCTTTGTACCGTACTAGGCCCACATGATCTAGTTTTTTATTTATTTATTTTAATGTCTTAAAAAATGGAAAAAATTTGTTTAACTGCCAAAGCAGGTAAAGAAAATATTATCTTGAAAATGATTTAACAAAACTTTTATTTAAATACTTCATTTTTCCATTATATCATTTAATTCAAATTCTTAAAAATAAGCTCTGCTCATTAAAGTTATATTAAGTTTCAATCTTTAAAAATTCCTTATTCATACAATATACTGTACTTAAAAGTTTATAATTCCTTCTTAACCATGAGCCCTAAAAAAATATAAAATATATAAGAATCTTTGTGAATTGTATTTAATCAAAAGCTGAAAAAGAGAGGACATCTGTCATCATACCTAAAATAAAACTAACTAAATTTAAAATTTTAAAAATTCTTACCCAAAACGTGGGGTAACTGACCAAGTGAACTCCCAAATTATAACTTTACTTTACAACTGAATTAGCACAACTGAGACCGGACAAGAAGGGTGATTAAGTTTTGTCTGACCCAGGTAACCCTGTGATTGGCTGAAAACCATGTGCTTCAAACAATGACTGACTTACCCTGGCCAATCAAATTGTCGTCTCTTTTCCTTACAGGATCTTACAAACTATTTAAATTTCTGGTTTAACTGACAAAATTGAATTAATATGTTTCGAATATTTCATGATTAAGCAGAGCTAAAAAAAAGAAAATACTAACTTAAATTTGTTTATAAATTGTGACAAAAAATACAAAATATAAAATGCTACAGCTTGTATTACTAGTTCCCCAAAAACAACCTTGATAAATGGGATTTCAACCAGAGTTCAGAACCGCCCTATGCCCTAAACACGATAACAGTTGCTCCATAGACAATCTATTTATATTGTTGTATAATATTATATTTTAAAATATTTCGTGGGAATTCCTAAACCATTAATTTATTTTAAACCCTTAAATTGCCTGTTGTGAATTAATCTTCCTTATTCCGATTAAATTTGGGTTATCGCTATATTTATTATTTCATTTATTTTTCATAAAGAGGTTGGCAGTCTCTTTTAACCTTAAATTTTTCCTGCCCACACAGACTGCCCGTGAATTGTATCCAGTAAAGCAAGGGGTGAGCCGGTACAGTACGAAGGCAGTACTGATAAAATGTTTACGTCAGTGACCAGGATCCGAACCGAAGACATCGCTGCCTTGGGTCCAAAGTCCGTGACACTACCAATACCACGACTTACCACAATCGGTCCCAAATTTTGATCAATTACTCGTAAATCCATCCTTATCCCTATTCGTCGTATTGTGTTATATTTAAAATTAAACAAAATATTTTACAAACATGCATTTCTAGTTACAAAATATAATATTATACACGTATATTCCATTAATACAGTAGCTTTCACTGTCTACAGAGGCGAGCCTCGTTGAGCGCAGCGATTGTGTTGGTTTACAACATAATAAACCAGGTTTATTACCGGAAACACGTTTTCGTGGGTGCTCTAGACCCTAAAAAGAGGTTACTTCCCTGTGTACGACTTTTTATACTGTTCTATTGACATTGAACAAAATGTTTACTTTTACTCTTGTTAATTGCTTTAGTTTTTTTTTTTTTTTTACCTTATTGGATGGCAATTGATCTCTACTTATTGGTTATGATTTTTACGAGTAACTCTACGTATTTGTGATATATGAAAGAAATCTTCCAAATTTACCGAATGGCAGAAAAATATCGATAACTCGATTGACTCAACCTATTGGATTATTATTGAAAGTTAGGAGAATTTTGTCAATTTATCTTTTCTTTCCAAATAAATAATTTCGATAAAATATTTTCAATTTTGGATCCATAAATGGATAAAATTGTATGCCTATTTTACTATTATTTATAATTATAATATGTTTAAATTAACTTTATAGATTTTTTGATTGCAAGGAATATTTTTTGCATCAAGGTAACAGAATGTTCTTTTATTACTTAAAGTCATTAGATAGTAACGCGTATCCAGTAGTATTTCCATTAAATAGGGTTTCCATTAAGTATCATTGCCGTTGAGGAGAAGAAAAACAAATTGAATGAGAAAATGAGAGAAGGTGGCGAGTCTGATTGCAAGCGGTAAACAGCTAAACAAGTTGTCCGATTCCTCTTACCTTTAATTTTCCTCTGACCTTAGATATCTGTTTCACCTCTACACCAACCAAAACACGAAGGTTTCGTTCATCAAATCCTAAACTTTTGTGTGAACTTAATTAAAATTTAACAGAACTTATTGCATAATTTTATACTCACCACACGTTTAATTGATCGTTTCTGCATATAACGCATTTTTACTCTTTTTTAGCCTATTTCTACCCCGTTTTTTACACTTTTCTCTCACATTAATTATCAATTATGCCCTCTCTT